TTGAGTAGCTACATGTTGCCTGACCATCGATTCCACCCATAACAACGGCTTCTTCTTCATCAATGGCATCGACAATATCGCGAATATCCACAACGTGGTCAAGCTCGTCGTCACTCATATGGAAGAAATCAGCAGTGAGGAGGTATGAAAGGTCCGCACTTTAAAAAGGCCTCTCATTGGAGCAGACTAAAAGACAGATAAAATGTGCAGTATATTTAACTTTTAGAATTATATTAATAATAAATACATTAATTAACATACTATTTTATTTATTTATGGTTTTTTGCATACTAAACTTTGATATATAATTGATTGTTAAAATGTATATATTAAAAAAAAGCTAGTTTAATATCAAGTATCAATAAGCATACAATTAAGGAAGGAATGGCTTTTTTGAATTTTTGTATAAGTGAACTAAATTGTTTCTAAATTGTTCTGAGTAAAGGCGGAATATTCGTATGATAGTAGGGTTTCGAAACAACCAGTAAATCAGTGTAATAAGATGTATTCACCCTATTTCGTTTAAGGTGATGAAGGACTGGTAGTAGAATTTTCCCACAACTCCGGCTGAGGGAATTAGTAAGACCGATGCGATTTCGACACTGCAGTCCACCCTCAATGATAACAACTTTTGAGAAAGCAAGGCTATGTGAAATTCAATGGAAACTTCAACTCAACTCATCTCATTACACTAAAGTCGGAATGCCAGGACAACGATTCAATAAAATGCTAGAGGCTATAACTATTGCAAAAAGTCTTTATCAATTTTATTACGTTTCTTCTATCACAAAAGATTTCCAAATTGGACTGATGCAGAGATTGGTGATGGTATTTCTTCAGCTTATATGAGATGTATTCACCCTATTTCGTTTAAGATTATGAAGGACTGGTAGTTCAAGTTCCCCACAGCGATTTGAGTATAGCTAACGTTTCCAGAAAATTTCACAAAACCTTGTTTCCCACAAGTTTTTCTTATCCAGAGTGGACTGCAGTTTCGACCTTGCCTATGTCTTATCAACAACTCCCAGCGGGA